TGCCCCCCCACCCCACCGGGGCTGGTCCCTGGGGTGCTGCCGCGCTCTCCTGCCTGCACCCCCTCTGCTGTCCCTGCAGCCCATCGTGCTGCTCTCTGCGTCTCGCCCCGGCCTCGGGTAGCAGCTGGGACTTAAACTCCAACGCTTTTGCTCCTGAAGCTCAGGAGAAGGAACTGTTTTACACGGTCTGGTTTATTACTGGTTTTTAAAGCCCCTTGTCTAGCCTTAAGCCTTACATCAGGGGTTTCGGCTGATTTTAGTGGGGTTCCTGACAGCCCAGGCAACTGCGGTCTGCGAGCAGGGCCTGGCTGTGGTTCTGGGGAGATTTCTCTTTGCTCACACTGCAGGGAGCCAGTGGCTCTTTGGGCACTTGGTTCTGTGCTGCCGAGCAGTGCATGGCAGCTGCCGTGCCCGGGATAAGCTGCTGTTCCTTCGCAGGGTTGCTTTGCAGAAGAGCTTCTGCTAATGTGCACTCTGCCTGGTGCTGGCCGCAGGTGTTTGCCTGTGCAAGATTAGATCTCTGCGCAGCGGCCAGCTGGGCAGGGGAGCGGGCAGCCCTCTGCCCCTCCTCTGAAAGCTGAAGGTCTCTCATGGGAAATGGCTTGAAAGGGGGCTGGTTCGGCTGGTGCAAAGATGTCTCAGAAGGTGAAAGGGGTTTATAAATCTGGGGCTTTTTGTGCTCCAGCACAAGGAGTGTCCCAGGAGTGAGGTGAGGGATAAAAAGGTGATTGGAGAGAAACGTCATTCAGAGGGTGATCGACATATGGTGCGCACAGATGGGGAGGCTGACGGGGATGGCCAGGCATGAGCGGCAAGGGAGCCCAGCTCCCCTCTGGGCATAGGGGAAAAGGAACAATGCCAGCACAGGGTTTTTTTTCCCTTCTCCAAGAGGAAAAAAGCAGTCGATTCTGGCAGCCCTTGGAAGGACAAGTGTGAGGTTTCCTTTTTCCATCTCAGGCTTTGCCTGTGACACAGCCCCACCTCCAGAAACGATGGGGGGCCAGTGGGTGCCCTGCCCATCTCGAGGCCCCGCTCATTGTGTAGCTTTATGTCTTGCTCAGGTATGAAGCCAGAGCAGGGGCTGATCCACTCCTGTCCTCTCCTTCCTTCCCCAGAACTCCTCGGAGATGCCGGAGACCATTACCAGCCGAGACGCTGCTCGTTTTCCCATTGTTGCCAGTTGCACCCTTCTGGGGCTCTACCTCTTCTTTAAAGTAAGTGAGCAATGCTGGCGGGCGCTGGAGCCGGTGCCTGCCATCCTCCCCGCCTGGTCAGGAACTCCTGAAGTGCGACTGACTCGATTTTTGGCCCTTAGTGTTGGGACAGAAAGTGTGTAAGGCTGCATGGCTCGAGCTCTTCAGTGTCATCATGCAGGAGGACGTCCGGTCTCACCTGAATTAACACAGCTTGGGGGAAATCAGAACCTGTTTGTGCACAGGTGGGTTCTGGAGGGCTGCCGAGGGGCAAGTTCACCCCGGAGCTCTGCTTGCCTCTGTGGGCCGACCTGACAATGCACGGACTGAAACCTGAGGGTGCCAGGGACTGCTGAGTTGCAAATGCTGCTGTCTCTGTGTTTAGCTCCATGCTGTGCTTCCAAAACCGTCTCAGCTGCAGGCCTGGAGGATCGCTAGCTCATGGGCGAGCCCCTGTGTGTTCAGGTGAAGTCCTTTAGACGTGCAGAGCCAACCAGCAGAGTTAGCTGACTCCTCCCGAGTCACAGATGGGAGATCCCAGCAGCAGGTGCTTCTGGCTGTGTGGAGAAAGTGTCTTGGCTTAAAGCACCTTTGGCTGCCCCTGCACGTCTGGTGTGTGGCTGTGCTCCTGGAGGGGCCTGACAAGCTGTGGGGCTGCGAGCACAGAGCGGTCCTCTCGGCACGGCAGCTTCCAGACCCACTGTCCTGGGCTGCCTGTGAGGTGGCAGGGTACTCTGGCTGGCCAGGAGGTGAGGTTTAAGGTGCAAAGTTGGGAATATTGCAGTTTACAGTCCCTTCTCTTCCAATCACAGTTACCGTGCAGCAGCTGACTGATGCTGCATGCTCCTACCCTGCGTTGAGCGGCCACGTGGGCTGATGGCTGCACCGTGCAGGTCCTGAGCCTGGCGTGGGCCTGGGCACTGGCCCGTGCTGCCGCTGCACTGGGAAGATGGGTGTGTGCCACAGCCTGTGTAGCCACAGAGGTCAGCTCTGCAGCAGCAGACAGGATCAGGCCTCCCTAGCAATATGCCCTGCTTTCCCAGCAGTGAAGTTTAGCCTGTGTTCTCACTGGGGCTGCAGCTCTGCTTTTAGGTCTCCAGGAGTAAAGCGCCAAGCGTCTGCTGAGCCTCTCCTGATGTTGGGCTGTGGAGCAGCCACCAGACTCTGCTGCCGTGCCCCTCTGGCCACTGAAAGGACACCCTGCATACCCTTCCCCGTGGCCCATGTCTTGGGGTACTCTTCCACCTCCTCAGGTGCCTTTTCTGCCTCTTGCTCCTGGGTGGGACAGAGACGCCTGGAAAAGAAGTACTGAATGTGCAGTGTGGCCCCACTGAAGTTGCTGCGTGATTGGTGGCTCTTCCTTGTAATATCTGCAAACTGCCATGAGCTCTCGCATTCCAGCGTCCCCACTCCAGGAGAGCACGGAGGACCCTGGGGTCCCCCCACACTGGGCTGTAGGGGTGTGATTCAGCAGTAAGGCAGTGTGTGCATTGAAGGGCCAGAGTCCTACTAACACCGTGTTTAATTAGGGCAGGACGTGCTCAGCCCACTGCAGTAGTGAGGCGAGGGTGCTGCTGCTCCCCTCTGCCAGGGCAGTCCCTGGTAGTGGTGTGGTGCCTTGCTCCTTGCTCCGGCTTGCTCTGCAGGGGACGAATGGGGGAAGCTCTGTCCTCCTTTCTGCAGAGCAGGAGTTATTTTTTGACCTGAGCAGCTCATAGATGCACGACAACTCGCAGGCCCGTTGTGCTTGTTCTGTGAGCGTGCGGCTATTTCCAACATATTTCCCATCAGTGGTGCAAGAATTTGGGTTATTCCAGCTATTCTTCTCGTCTCCCTGGAGCACTGACACAGGAGCTGCCAATAGAAACGTGAAGTGCTGTAGATGGGGAGGATGCTGCGGTAACTAACCCCTGTCTGGATTTGTCTTGCAGATATTCTCTCAAGAGTACATCAATCTTCTGCTTTCCATGTATTTCTTCGTGCTGGGGATCCTAGCCCTGTCCCACACCATCAGGTACAGCGGAGGGAAGGGTGCGACTGGGGCAGGGGTGTCCCAGGCTGCCGGCTCTGCGAGTCTGTTGAGTTTATTGAGGAGGTTTTAGAGCACTGTTGCCTTGCAGCAGAGCCAAGTCCAGCTCTTAGGGTGTTGTCCCTTGGTGGTGTGAAGGACGCAGAGAGTGCTGCGAACCCTTCCTTGTCAGGGAACCAAAGTCTCGGGGGTCCTGGCAGTCCAGTACCACATACAGCATCACTGGGAGAGCTCATGAAGTAGTGGGTGGCAACCACCATGGGACAAGGCCAGCTCACCCTGAGGAGCTGCTATGGCTTGGCACAGTCCTCACTGCCCTATGGAAGCGAGAGCTCCTCGGCCCCCAAGTTCCCCTTACTGGGATGGCTGAAACAGGCAGCTGGAGCTCACGATAACATCCCCAGCCTCACACCGATGCTTAGTGCGACGTGTTGAAAGCTCGGCCTGTTTCAGTAACTGAAAAAGTAAAACTGGTTTCCTGTTTCCTGAGCTCTAGGGTGTTGGGGACCAGATGCTTTCCCTAGACTGGTGCCAGGCAAGGGGTTTATGTTTGCTCCAGGCTCTGCAGGAGAACCATTTGGTGGTGGCCCAGCCAGTTCTGGGTGCCCAGGGCGCTGCCGCAGAGCACAGGGCACATGCTGGGGTCTGGGCTGGGCCCTCCCTTCATGTGGGCAATGCTCTGTGCCTGTCGCCCTAGAGCATTTTGGGGCACTGTCACATATGGGCAGATCAGACCTCTGGGGAGGATGAGGTGCCATGTCTGCAGCTTGGTGACTGAAGCTGAGGCTCCTGCCAGTCCCTGATTGTCGAAACCTGGCATTTCCCCATCTCGGGAGGGGGTGTGGGCCGACGTCCGTGCTGTGATGCCATCACGCAGAGGTGCTGGGCAGTGCACACAGCGGGCTTTCTGTCCAACTGCCCTTCTCTACACCTCTTGTTTCAGCCCCATGATGAACAGATTCTTCCCTGCAAATTTCCCCAACAAACAGTACCAGCTCCTCTTCACCCAGGGCTCCGGGGAGAGCAAGGAGGGTATGTTGGCTCGCCGGTCTCTCTGGGGCCTAAATGTTTTCTGCCTTTACTGTTCTGGTTTTTGCTCACTTGGTGTTTTGACTTTCAGCCCATCGAAACAGCCTTCTCAAAGACTTGCCTCTTGCTCCCCGCTGTGCTTCTGTAGCCAGTGTGAGCCCCGTGTGTCCCTGCAGAGCTGGGGCTGCCATGTGCCTCTGCGTGCACCTCTGGCTGGCAGCAAAGCCCCAGAAACAGATCCCAGAGTGCTATAGGAATGGACCTGTGGCTGCTGTTAAATGCACTGCCTTTATTTAAGCTCCATGGGTAGCATCGTACTGCCTTTTTTGTGCTGCCTTAACTGATCTGATTCAAATCTTTGTACTGGTAGAAGATGCTTTGGTAAGTATCCTGCCCAGTAGCTTTACTGGTAAGGGAATACTTCTTCTGGTGATACCACCAGGAGTTAACTGGTGCAGGAAGAGGGAGAAGATTTGCTTCTCCCTGCCTTAGACAGTGCCTGCATCCAATTTCCTTATTGACAGAAGGATCTGTCCTGGTTTCAGCTGGGACAGAGTTAGTTTTCTTCCTGGTAGCTGGTACAGAGCTGTGTTTTGGATTTAGTGTGAGAATAACATTGATAACACAGGGATGTTGTAGTTGTTGTGAAGTTGTGCTTACCCCAAGTCAAGGGCTTTTCAGTTCCCCACACTCTGCCAGCGAGGAGGGGCACGAGGAGCTGGGAGGGAGCACGGCCAGGACAGCTGACCCCGACCAGCCCAGGGGCTATTCCATACCATAGAACGGCATGGCCAGTATAGAAACTGGGGGTGAGCTAGGCGGATTGCTGCTCGGGAACGGGCTGGGCATCGGTCAGCGGGTGGTGAGCAATTGTGTTGTGTATCACTTGTCTTTTCTTGGGTTTTGTTCTTCTCTCTCTTTTTGTTCTCTCCCTTTTCATTACAATTACTATTATTGTTGTTGTTATAATATTTTATTTCAATTATTAAACTGTTCTTATCTCAACCCATGGGTTTTACCTTTTTTCCAATTCTCCTCCCCATCCCACTGGGGGCCTGGAGGGGAGCGAGCGAGCGACTGTGTGGTGCTTGGTTGCCAGCTGGGGTTAAACCACAACAGGATCACAGATGCTGTCCGTGTAGCGGAGGCTGGCTGAAGGAGAAGGTCCAGGCTTGCCAGGGCCGGCTGCTTGTTCGCGTGCAGTTTGCATGTGTTTACCGTGGGCATGGCCACATCTGTGGGTGCAGTCCCCTCGTTTGGGACGTGAGCGCTGTGGTCTGTGTTGCTCCCCAGCTGTACAGTCACTCACCTCCGCCCTGCGCGGGAAGGGGAGCTCCCGGGGCTGCCCAAAATCTGACTTCTCTGTTTTATTGCAGAAATAGTGAATTACGAGTTTGACACCAAGGACCTCGTGTGCCTGGCCCTGAGCAGTGTTGTGGGGGTCTGGTACCTGCTGAGAAAGGTAAGCAAGCTGCAGCCCTGTTGCAGGCAGCCCAGAATCCAGGCTGGATCAGACCTGGGCCCCTTGCCATGCGAGGCCTCTGCAGGCTGAGGCCGTGGCTCAGCATGTGCGGTGGGACCCAAATCTCCTTTTCTTGTCGTTCTCAGCACTGGATTGCCAACAATCTGTTTGGGCTGGCGTTCTCCCTCAACGGGGTGGAGCTGCTGCACTTGAACAACGTCAGCACTGGCTGCATCTTGCTTGGGGGCCTCTTCATCTATGACGTCTTCTGGGTAAACGGGAGCATTCCCTGGGGCGGACGCGAGTTGCAGCCGTTGGCGGAAGGCATGTGCGTGGCGTTACGCCTCTTTGGAGGCAGCACGCTGGCTGGACACACAATTGCAGTCAGGATTTCCGCTTTCTCAGCCCAAAGGGGTGTGGTGGGGATGATGACAGAATCAAACAGTGGCAGAACGTGGCTCAGCAAATGCATTTTCTTTTAATCTCTGGCTGAGAGCGCCATGGGCTGGCAGGGATCTCATCCGGGCTGTTGTGCGGTACCTGGGTGTGTGGCGCATCTAGTTCTGGTGACCTGTATTCCCCGCTAAGGTCTTCCCAATGCCTGACAGAGCTACTGGGTGGGCTGATCCTGCTTGTATGGGCTGTGCCTCAGCTCTGTCATCTGCCAGCTTCGTTAGCATCCTTCTGTCCTCTTGCACAGAGGACCAACCACTTCTTTCCCTCAGCCAGTGCAGCACCCTGACATCTTCGTTTGGAGGTTTTCCTTATCTCCCTGCAATGGGCCTGGCACTTGAAACATTACATGTTTCCCCTTGTAATGTCCATATTCCCCAGTCCTTCCTGCTGCCTCCACCTTCTGAATTCCGTGTTTCCAAATGTCTGAGTACCTTGTATACCTTGAGGTCTGTCCAGCAGCTCTGCAACTGCCTGAGTAATCCTTCCCTATTTAAGCCTGGCTTCTCTGTGTTATTTTGTACTTGGCTGGTGCTGCCCCTGTTTCATAGGCTCGTTAACAGTCGCAGCTCTGTGGTTCGTTAGCCTGTGTGCCACTTCCTCCACTGCTCTCAGCTGGAGAGGATTCAACCTTCTGGCTTAGCACACCCAGTGCCTCGCACCCTGCTCGGGCTGCAAATGTCTTCCTGGTGCCTGAGAGACAGCGAGAGTGCAACCCTCACTGCTCTCCGCTTGCCGGCTCTCTCCTGCCTTGGCTTCCCCGGCAGGTCAGGGTATTGGCAGAGCCTCACGGAAGGGCTGTCTTGAAGTGGAGACCCTCTTACGGTTCCCCTCTGCAGGGACCGGTGGCTTGGATCTTAGCACGGATTTAGTCACAGTGAGATCCAAGGAGGAAGGAGAACTGCTCAGTGGATCAATGATATTGCCCCCGGTGTAGTCTTGGGGTGACCTTGCATGTGACGCTTTTCCCTGGTCCCAGTATGGGGTCCCTGTCACTCCGTGGCAATGCCCAGAGCTTACAGCACCTTATGGGAGTTAATCTGATGCCCAATGCTTGCTTTAAGGTTTCTCTTTAATCCCTAGCTCTAGGGTCTTGCTCACCTGGTGCTAACCAGCACCTGGTTTATGTGCCTGCTGCTGCCGTAGCCAAGGCTGGAGGCGTGGAGGTGAAAAGGAACAGAATTAAGGGTGGTTGACCTATGTGTTTACAGTCCATCCCCCCAAACGATGCCGGTATTTAAAGCCAATAGTGCAGTACAAATAAATGACCTCAGAGCAAAATGCAGCTGATCTGGCAATGGCTCTGGTCGCCGTGTGAAGCTCATGGGCGCTGGTGGGGCTCTGCTGGGAGCTCCTGCCCTCAGATAACATGCTGCGCCGTGGTCAGGCTTCCCACCGAGTTGATTCATTAGAGCTGAGCCGACCCGCAGGGGCAGGTGCTGGGTGAGGCCGGGCGGTGGGCAGCACCGCGGCTCTGCGGTGTGAGCGGTCTTCTGGGCACTGCTCTGAAAGCGGGACGGCCGGGATGGGCTCGCCTCCTCGAGCACTGTCCTGTGCCTTCTCCCCTGGGCACTGGGCTCACTCACAGGACTCCTCTGCCCACGGTTTGGCGACTCTTTGGCTATTTTCTGCCACTGAGGCCACTCCGGGCTGTGCGGTGAGGCTGTAGCTGAGCGTGCACGTGTTCCTCTGCAGCTGTGGTCACCCCGGACTCTCTGCTTGCCCCTAGGTCTTTGGCACCAATGTGATGGTGACAGTTGCCAAGTCGTTCGAGGCCCCAATAAAACGTGAGTAGATCTTCCCCGTGTGCTGGAGGAGGGGCTGTCCGTTCTGCTGCCCCATGCACCCTCCACCTTCTGGAGATGGCTCAGAAGGTGGGATGTGTGCGAGAAGGTTTCCTGCTAGTGACCCCTTTGACTGCTGCCTGCTGCGAGGAGCCAGGCCAGGTCTCTGGAGAGGGATGGTTTGCAGAGCCCTGAGCTGGCTAAGTTAGGCTGCACTGCCAGAGTGGGCAATTTTTCCTGCTTATAAAAAAAAAAAAATATGCAAAACCACCCCCAGCCCCCGCCAAAACAACAGGAGGGGTGAATTTGTGCTGTTGTGGAGCACACAGTAGTTTGGGTCCTGGGAGCTGGGGTTGAAACCTGTGCGTGGGGCTGGCTGCGAACCCCTTGGTTTCTCATCCTGGTGCCTAGAGTTGTCCCAGGAAGGAGAACAAGGGGAGCTGCAGGGGAGGAGGGGGCCGAGGGCAGGGACAGGGGTCTTGCCCTGCTCCAGTCCCTTTTTGCCAGGGACAGCAGTGCTGGGGTCTGCTCCGCACAGACACTGCCCCCTCACTGTGCCCCTCTGCTCCCCGCAGTGGTTTTCCCTCAGGACCTGCTGGAGAAGGGGCTGGAGGCTGACAACTTCGCCATGCTGGGTCTGGGAGACATTGTCATTCCAGGTAAGGGCAGAAGAAGGGGGATGTGACCGGGATCCCCCATCCGAAGGGGCTGCGGGGAGCTGAGCGGGTGCCTCTCTCTGCCTTTGGCCATGCCAGAACCCCGCGGGCCTCCTGCGTGGGCTGGGGGCTGCGTGGG